TAACATCCCTGGTTCCACTGGGCAAATGAGACTTTGGGTCTCTTTCTTGGGAACTTGGGAGGTACCTGAGATTGACTCTTGGGGTTGGAGCTTCCACTGTGACCTGTGTGGAAGGGAGAACCCATGTTCTGATGATGGATCTCAAAATGCCCTGAACTGAAGAGGACAGGTGATCTGTGTCCCAAGTAGTTACGTGGGTTATCTCTCAAGCAGTGTTATCGTCTTCTCATGTGTTATACAGAAAAGCAGAGCAGAAGCTGTCCTCCCACACTACCTGCCTTAGGGTGACTACCTTGTTCCTCCATAGATTTAATATGGTGGGTAAGCGTTGTCACCCTAGGACAGGAAGTATATTTATGGCAGGATCACCAAATGAAATTAGTGTTCTTGGATTTAGATACACTTTATAGATAAACCTCAGGCAAACATTTGAAATACACATACAATGTGCAGACTGCTTTAGCTGCTGGATGAGGGTGACACCACATTTTATTTTTGGTTAAAGCCCATTCACCATGCTATGCACCACATTTTAATCAAATACTGTTTTTCATCCTTTGTTGCATCTCAGTGCTGCTGTAGCTTCTTTGCACCCACTTTCTCTCTACATACACTGCAGCGATGGATTCATGGCATTTCTCTCATAGGTGACTTTTAAGCGCCCATCCATCCATTGACTTTGAATCAAAGAAGTCATCGATATCACTGACCTCCATAGATAATTACGGATTGATGAGCCCTACTAGTTGATATTCTCTTTCTGATGCTTCATGTCCACTATCCTCCAATTTCAATATACAGTTTAATCATGTTAGACTCCATTGACTTATCAGCATCTTTTAATGAGGACTGCACTACTTTTGCATATCTTATCTGGATTACCAGCGACCTATGCTGATTGCCGAATCAATGATAGGTCTTTATTGGAGGATCTTTATTGCAGCTCTGCTTAGAAACAATTGCGGCTGATCCTCGGAACAAGGAACGGTTCGATAAAGACCAAATTAATTTAATTAGTTTATATGAAGTTGGACAGAGGAGACCCTGAGCACAACTCCTCATGAGAAATTCATATCCGGCTCAACACTTGTATTTAATATTTACCGGTACTGATGGTGAATGCTGATAAATTCTTATCAATAGGCAGTGTATTAAATCAGTTGTTAAATATTATAGCCAACTCCCGGCAGATCTAAAGGACATCATTTAATCCAGATCTGTATCCATTAATAAATCATTAAAAGTATATTTAAATGCAAGAAATGTATCTGAATTTGGCTTGGCTATCAGCCCAGCAGCAATGAGGTTGAGAGAGGAAAGGGAACGATTGGGAGCCAACCATGTGTGTTTCATGCAAATGTGCTAACAGTGATAGAAGGGAGCAGAGTGATAACTTCATCAGTTTCCTGTTGCACTTCCATTGGCCAATCAGCAATCTGAGGGTGGATAGAGGCAGCCTAAAACTGTACAGATAAGGTGGTTTCATCTACCTTCCTGTGTTTTCTTTAATTCTTCTAAATGTATGGACAGCACCTTTGTATGTATTCTCTCAGTGTATTTAAAGAGACCCTTCTGCCAACCTAAAAGTTGCAGGTAAAAGCACAGAAAAATCATGTATTTGAAATGCTTACTTGCTGTGCTTTTTCCTTTCCATCAACAACTTGCTAGCAAATTTGACTTCTTCAGGAAGATTCAAATTCCTAACATAGTCCTCTCCATCCTTACACGTCATGGCCATCTCCTCTAATTAGTATCTATGCTGGCCCAGCTTCTCCTAACCTCCCCTCACCTCCATTTGTAACCATTTATGTAGCTGCCGGTGGAGGAGAAAAGAGGAATACTAGAAACCAGACATTCCCAGCCTTTTTACCTAGGGCAAGGGTGGGCAAACTGTGGCTCTCCAGCTGTTGCAGGAGTAAAAGTTCCATCATGCCTCTGCAAGTCATAGGAGTCATGCTTGTAACTTCCGGTCTTTGTAATGCCTCATAGGAAATGTAGTTCCACAGCAGCTGGAGAGCCACAGTTTGCCCACCCCTGACCTAGGAGAACCTACAAAATAATGTTTTAGGTCTTCTAAAACAAATTTATCAGGCCTCAGTGGGACAAATATCCTTTACATTGAAGGTCAGTGGGATGAATTTCCCCTTACAGTGGTGGTCAGCGTTTTAGATAGCTAAAGAAGATTATTGTCACCATGTCACTGGTTTTGCCAAGTGGTGTTGGTTTCAAAACTCGGCAGGCACTTTCAGATGGGAAGTCAATCAACCACAGCTCAAGGAACTCTTAGAAAACTTTGGAGGAACTTTCGCTGAGAATGGTCGCTATAAAGTATCACTTGAGTTCAGGGGCGGACTGACCATTTAGAAACTCGGGCACTGCCCAAGGGCCCGGGGTCAGTAGGGGGCCCCATGAGATGCCCCTGGTACCTTTTACACAGGCTTTTTTGAGTTTGGGCAAGGACACAGGGGCCCCATGATCCCCTATTGCCCGGGGGCCCCATGAGTTGTCAGTCTGCCCCTGCTTGAGTTACAGCTCTAAGTCTGCTGGGGCTGCTTTGGGTGGCCACACCAGGGAGATAAATAGCATGAATAAAATATGTTAAATATATATTCTAATGGGAATATTTTTTTTTTTTTTTTGAATGGTCTAGCAACAAGGTCTCTTTAACTGTTTCTGAATTTCAACTCCAAAGAAACAGGAAACCTAAAAATTTTGGTAATTTGTTTCAAGTGCAGGGAATGTATTAATTGGGTACAGTTGTATATTTTCCATTTTACGCACAAATTTCCATATTTTTGAGCTGTAGCTGTTCAGACCCAGCCAACATGGCCAATCCCAGTGGGGTATCCCATTGCAAACAAGCCACAACTACAAGTTCCTGTTTTGGGAGAATCAGCACAACTCATAAACATCAGGAACTCTTAGAAACCTCTGGGTACAGTTGTATATTTTACATTTTATGCACAAATTTCCACATTTTTGAGCTGTAGCTGTTCAGGCCCAGCCAACATGGCAATCCCAGTGGGTTATCCCATTGCAAACAAGCCACGAAAAGGGGAATACTAGAAACCAGACTTTCTCAGCCTTTTTACCCAGAGGAACCTACAAAATAATGTTTTAGGTCTTCTAAAACAAATTTATCAGGCTTCAGTGGGACAAATACCCCTTACATTGAAGGTCAGTGGAATGAATTTCCCCTTACAGTGGTGGCCAGCGTTTTAGATAGCTAAAGAAGATTATTGTCACCATGTCACTGGTTTTGCCAAGTGGTGTTGGCTTCAAAACTCGGCAGGCACTTTCAGATGGGAAGTCAATCAGCCACAGCTCAAGGAACTCTTAGAAACCTCTGGAGGAACTCTCGCTGAGAATGGTCGCTATAAAGCATCACTTGAGTTACAGCTCTAAGTCTGCTGGGGCTGCTTTGGGTGTCCACACCAGGGAGATAAATAGTATGAATAAAATATGTTAAATATATATTCTAATGGAAATATTTTTTTTAATGAATGGTCTAGCAACAAGGTCTCTTTAACTGTTTCTGAATTTCAACTCCAAAGAAACAGGAAACCTAAAAATTTTGGTAATTTGTTTCAAGTGCAGGGAATGTATTAATTGGGTACAGTTGTATATTTTCCATTTTACGCACAAATTTCTACATTTTTGAGCTGTAGCTGTTCAGGCCCAGCCAACATGGCCAATCCCAGTGGGGTATCCCATTGCAAACAAGCCACAACTACAAGTTCCAGCTTTGGGAGAATCAGCACAACTCATAAACATCAAGGAACTCTTAGAAACCTCTGGGTACAGTTGTATATTTTACATTTTATGCACAAATTTCCACATTTTTGAGCTGTAGCTGTTCAGACCCAGCCAACATGGCCAATCCCAGTTGGTTATCCCATTGCAAACAAGCCACGGCTACAAGTTCCTGTTGTGGGAGAATCAGCACAACTCATGAACATCAAGTATCAAAGATTTTCTAACTATTATACAGAGCTGGGCATGAACATTAGAAAATTCTCCTGATGTCTTCTTGGCCAGTTTATCTCTTGAATGGTACCAGTTTAGCGTTACAGCATTCATGTGGAGTGTTCCTCCAAATCTCCACTCAGCCTCTCCAGTCCAAGGTGAAGAGGTGCTGGCCGTGAGAGCACATCCTTGCTCTGACATATTGAAAATTCATACAAGAGAGTGATAGAGATTTCTACAGCTTAGTCTAATCTGGGTGAAAAACAGCAGAGAAATGTGATCACAGGCACGGACATATACTGTAGGTGTATACATCCTGCATACATGTTTTTGAGGATTAACTTCACTAGTGTGTGGCCTCTCTTTATGGAAGAGCAGTTTCGTGGCACATGCTCTCCTGTTGAGGGCGATGAAGGAAGGAGGGAGGCTTCATGTGACCAGTGGTGTCCATGGGAGGAAAACACAATAAGGAATAAGTTATCACAATTTGGCAAATTTTGAGACCAGAGCACACAGACATAGAGCATACAGAATCTGTGCAGAGAGTCTATGTCATATGACTCAAATCTAAAGCTACAGTATTTTAAAGCATGAAAGCCAACCACAGTGATACCATAAGATACATCTTGCTGCCCTTCAACAAAACCTGAACACTGAGTCTTGGCCACAGCAGCAAAATTCTATACTGAGCAGGGGCAGACTAACCATTTGGAAACTCGGGCACTGCCTGAGGGCCCAGGGTCAGTAGAGGGCCCCATGAGATGCCCCTGGTACCTTTTTCATAGGCTTTTTTGAGTTTGGGCAAGGACACAGGGGCCCCATGATCCCCTATTGCCCGGGGCCGCATGAGTTGTCAGTCCGCCCCTGATACTGAATTTAGATATGCTTTAAATGAAATAAAAAATAACCATGTTTTTTGTTCAAAGCCGTGTTATGTGATTTAAACTCATGCTATTTTTTTTTTTTTTTTCAGGAGCCTTGTGCTTCGTGGAGAACACACTAACATTGTCCTGGCAATCTACATTTTGACATTTATGACCGGCCTGCCTTCTAACTTGCTAGCTTTCTACGCCTTTTTGGTCAAGGTTCGCAAGAAACCATCACCAGTAGACATCCTTCTTCTCAACTTGACCATCTCAGACCTTCTCCTGCTAATGTTCCTTCCACTGAAGATGCAAGAGGCAGCTTCCGGGATGATTTGGAATCTACCCATATTTCTTTGTCCTTTGACAGGATTCTGCTACTTCAGTAGCATTTATATCAGCACCTTGTTCCTCACCGCTGTAAGCATTGAGCGCTACCTTGGGGTGGCATATCCCATTAGGTATAAACTCCATCGAAAGCCTGAGTATGCCACGTTTGCTAGCATTTGCTTCTGGCTTCTTGCCTGTGGTCATTGCAGTATTGTGTACATTGTTCAGTACAGCACAGGACGCAATGCTACAAATTTCAATGAAACAAGATGCTATGAGGACTTTACAAATGAACAGCTCAGGATATTGCTGCCCGTGCGTTTGGAATTAGGAATAACCCTATTCTTCATCCCATCTATCATAACACTTTTCTGCTACATCAACTTCATAAGGATATTGATGTCTCTGCCCAACATCCAAAAAAAGAGAAAACAGAGAGCCATTGGCTTGGCCATCGCCACTCTCGCTAACTTTTGCATCTGCTTTGCTCCTTACAATATCTCCCACATTGTTGGCTTTGTACAAAATAAGAGCCCAGATTGGAGGGTGGACGCCTTGCTTCTAAGTACATTCAATGCCACCTTGGACCCAGTTGTGTTCTATTTCACCTCTACGACAGTCCAGAAAACATTTTTTGACTTTTTGGCAGCCATCTTACAAAAAATAGGGAGAACATGCCCCTGTAAGAAATTCTGTTTATCTCCTGATGGCCCTCCATATGATGAAAGCAATCTAGACAGGTCCTCTACCTGAGATTTTTAGGTTCTTCTCACATCTCACAGGAGACATTGGTAAAGTTTCAACTCTGTAGCCCTACAAAGTGTGAAAATCTAACACAGCTTGAGTTTCAGTGTGCAAGATAGTCTGCCTTCATACATGTCTAAAACCTGGTCTGAGTTGTCTTCTAAAATGTGTAATGGTGTTTGGAATGCTGCACGTACCTTAGCTTGAGCTGAAAATTTAAGGGTTCTTGAAGTAAAATGACTGAGCAGTGCGTTCAGGATCTTTTGTTAAAGCTTTACAGATTATGAGTATACTTGATTTAGAAGTTAAACCTTGATATGCATACAGGGAGCACAAACTACCTGCTGCATAATTCATTTTTTCATCCAGGTATTGCTGAAGTGTCATAGTCAACCCCTTATTACCTTTGGTTGATAATCGGGTCATCCTGGAACACATCTGCTGGCGATCCTGGAACATATCCGCTGGTGATCATGGAACACACTTGCTGGTTATGCATTTACCCATCTGCTAGTGGTTCTGGAACCCACCCTTTGCGGATTGTAGAACAACCACTGAACATTCTTTGTTGTCTCTCACACACAGAAAGTCTGATATGAAAACAATGCCGGTACTAAGAAGTTTCTCATAGCCACCAATCACAGGCAAAATTCAATCAAGCAAGCTGCATATGGAATTGTACATTCATGCAGACATATTGTGGATCATGGCTGATATGATAACAGACATGTACCTCTTTCTTCAGCTTTCTGGTCTCTCCATGGTACACAAAGGCTTCAGGAACCTTCCATAATAAGGGAGTCATGAAAGTCTTGCACTGGCTGTCCATAAAACAGTACCTATAAATAACTTATATGGAAATAACTTATGTGAAGACTGTGCAAGGCCCAAGGACCCAATGGGACCTATAGGTCCATTTATACTAGAGGTGGTTTAGGTGAGTGCTGGAGCCCCACCTGTTTTTACATAGACCTGAATGCTGCTCAGTTTCAAGGCAGCAGAAGAGGAGAACCAGGAGAAGCAGGAACCACTCTTTATGATATTCCAATGGTGCGTCTGGTTTAGAATATTTAGGTAGTGAGCAGCTGTTTGATCCAAGTTGAAGAGTTTAGAGTTTAGCATTGTAAAGGTTACTATTTATCCAGTGAGTACGTTTCCAGCTGAGCAGTTGGGGGGCCCGAAAGTTGTTTTTGATATTATGTCCACAATTTGCACATTTGTAGCAGGTGAAACGATGATTGTCCACAATAGTTGTCTAGGATGGCTGTCTAATTGGGCATTTGGAAGAGATTTCCTCTTACTTCCTGTTGTGTCCGCAGGACAGAAACTGAAGGGAAATCTCCTCGAAGGGCATATATGGCGAAATAAAACTGGGGGGGAGGGAATTTACCCATTCCTTACTCTATTCAATATAACAAATTTTACTTTAGATAACTTTAAGGTGTATTGTGTTTGGACCTTGATAACTTAGGATTTGATTTAGCTCAACGCCAATTTCATTTATGGTTTATAGCATCCATGGTACAATGATTTTGACCGGTAAAAGAGTGTCCTTTTCACGGCTAATTGCAACAGTGTACTTTTAAATTGTAATATTTATTGTATTTATTGCTATGTTTTCTGTGTTGCTTGGGGTTTCTCTAGTTCTGGATGCAATTTGATGAGCCCAGCCACTGGGTTCCCCAATTATATAAATATTTGTTTTGCAAAATGGCGAACCTACTTGGAGTGTGTGACACCACCATTTGGATTTGTAACGGCTGCCATCTTTTACCAGAATAGGGAATTCTCGTGACTGGCCTCACAAGATGAAAGAAGCCTGTAAATAGACTTCTTGGCAGCAATGCAAATCTGAAATATCAGTTCTGGGCAATATATTCTTAAATAGCCACAGTAGATATAAAACTAATTTGTGCACCAAACACCTATGTAAAAAGATACAAACATATAAAGATAGCATTGACATCATCACTGTGCTGTACATAGCCTGTGTAGCCAGCAGAGCCGTGGGAGAGGGACCCAAAAATCCCACCCACCACGGGATGCCTGCAGACAACTGCAGAAGGGGGTGGAGACAAGACCAGTAACCCTGCACAAAGAGAGAGAGCAGCACTGAGCGGTCTTTATTACAGGAAGGAAACGTCTCACACTGGATTTCTGCACAGATCGAGAAGAAATACATAAAGCACACCAAGATTTAAGGAAAAATACACATTTGTGAAGCATCCCCTTATTTCCTGAAGGGACCCCCAGGTGGCTCAATGGGCTAGCATTTCACACCAAGGCAGGGTCCCTGACTCTTGGTGAGGTGGAAGAATTGGGCACCAACCACTTTAAGAAGTTTGTTATAGGACCATAAGTTCAGGGAGAGAGGAATTAGGGCACTGGATACCCAAAAAAAGACCAAAATGCATACTCCGAAGTCAACTAACAGTCAATATAGAAAATGAAGGTTTAAGCCAAACTTGTACAATGTACTCATTAAACTGTAAAGCCGCTTCAATGTTGTACACAATCCAGCAGAACCTACTACAATGTCTAGTAGTTTTTACTACCCTCCCCCAAGACACTGTTCGTCAGACGAACTTTCCCCCTGGTGCTCCAGTTTAGGTGTTAGCTTCACTCCCCCTAGATATGCCCTCCGGTAAGGCAGCGCAATTATCTTCAGGCCCCAGACTCAAGCCTTCCTCTCAAAGCATGTGTGTCTTCCCCAAGCAACAAGACTGGGATGGTAGGGTGCAACCATACTCATGTTCCCAGAAAGCTTTCAGAAAGTCCACCCAAATACTTAGATGCTCCCCCAGCATGCACCACTGGCAATAGGCTTCCTAGTGGTTGGCTGTAACAGAACCGGACCCCGACTGCACTTGGGTATTTCTGTTAGACTACCGCTTCCCTGTCCCAACACCGTCCACGGACACCACCACTGACCATACAAGACTAGATAGCACCAGGCTTGAAGGAACACAGGAAATAGACTACATTATTTTAACACAGGTACAAGATATATACATTCAAGGGAACAATTTCCCCCCTCCCTGCATAATGACACAGGGCGGGGCAAACCACATCAAGCAACAAGAGACACATCAGCAGACACCCCCCACCAAGCCAATACACAAACACATTTATCCAGGGGAGGACTGACACCTCATGGGGCACCTGGGCAACAGGGGATCATGAGGCCCCTGTGTCCTCACCCACACTTAAACCACACCCAAAAAAGCCTATGAAAGGTACCAGGGGCGTCTCATGGGGCCCCCTACTGACCCCGGGGCCCTCGGGCAGTGCCCGAGTTGCCAAATGGTCAGTCCACCCCTACATACATCCCATAATAGTTTGCTCCCAAGCAAGACACACAATATAACAATGGGATGCAACCACATGGCGTTAAACAATGAACAACTCCCCACCCCAATTATTAGGACATTTCACCCTGTACCCCTAACAGGCACAGAGTGACTTACACATAATAGGGATATGGGGAGCTGAGACAGGGGTCCCCCCCACCCCTCCAAAGTGAGCTGTGTTCCATGGGCCCACCACCCAAAGTGACTCCCGTCACATTGGCCAGGGAGACATAAATATCCATAACTCAGATTATTGGACATTACTCTATTGGATTGTCTTACACTCCCCACTCTGAGCTTGGGGGAAAACCCAATGAACCTAATGAACACAGAACTATAAATTTATGCTCAGACCAGGGGCGGACTGACCATTTGGAAACTCGGGCACTGCCCGAGGTCCCGGGGTCAGTAGGGGGCCCCAGGAGATGCCCCTGGTACTTTTTTCATAGGTTTTTTTGAGTTTGAGCAAGGACACAGGGGCCCCATGATCCCCTATTGCCCGGGGGCCCCATGAGTTGTCAGTCAGCCCCTGGCTCAGACTGACTATAGCTCACCAGTACTAAATTTTGTCTAAATGTATCAACATCAGCTTCAATAGCATAATTTAACAGAGAAGTAGAGAAAATAGAACCTTCAAACTTCCCAGATGATCAGTGTGGATTACTGATGAAAACACATATACTGGTGATCAACTCCAGGATAAGAAAATACACTTATCCTGGGCTTCATCTATATATGTGCTCATCAGTCATCCACACTGACCAGCCGGAAGTTGGGTTTCATGAGTTTGCTACCGAAGATTCTATTTTCTCATTTTCTCTGTTAAGTGATGCTATTGATGCTGATGTTGATAAAGGCAAAAATACTGAGATACAATATCTTTACAGGAAAAGGGAAACCAAGTATACCACAAACCAGTTGCATTGCTGAGCCACAACGTGCAATTGGTGATTCCTGAGATGTACGAACCCAATTCCTATGAAAACTGGACTGTTTTGCAAAACTAGGACTGAGCCTTTGTCTTTGACTGACTGGCTTAGCTCAAAATGTGGGACTAACAATGGTTATTTCCCTGTTATTTTTTACTTATTATTTTAATATTTCCTGACACAGTGTATTGTCTTCGTGATCACCAATAATTGCTGAGGTTTTTCAGCACTAGGTTGCCACACACTTCTTTTTCTAAAAGGAAAGAACAGTGAGCGCTGGTCCTAAACAGCAGCTGAGCACTCTAAGCAACCGATATATACTTATACAGAATACCATAAAAAACAGTGCAGCTCTGGAGATAGTGGTAATAAAACAGAAAAAAGTCCACTGCAAGTCCAGTTCAGAGAAACATGTCAGGTGACAAGTGGAAATTCAATGTTGGTGATCCGTGAGGAAGTGACTGAAATACGCACTCACCAAAAAGAAGATATATATAAGCAGTATATATCAAAAGCCCATGGATCCTCAATCCAGAAGGAACAAAGCTGGTCTGGTCACAGAAAGTGGGTCCCTCCTTTAAGGATGCAGCAAAAGATCTTCCTCCTCCCAGTTTGGTATTGGATTCCAAAGTCAGGGTTCTGCAGACTGAGTCGGAGTCCGCTTGGGTTCAGCCTCTCCCAGGCACAGTTCTGAATCTTTGGTTGCTAAATGCACCAACAAGGTGGGGAG